AACAAAAGATTATGCACAAGAAGTCCCCCTCCCCATTTTCCTTATTTTCCCCATTTGAACGTGGAAAAATCAATGTGGGAATTCGCCAGACAAACTAAAGGAACATCCAGCAATTTCTGTCAAGATCAAGCTGGCAGAGATGTGACACTATATCTTTTGGGGAAGCTCCTCCCAGCTTCAGAATTATGTGGAAGCTCCGCCCACCCTGTGCATTAGCATTTTACATAAACTGATATGACAGACAAATAGTGTGAACAGAGGACTTGTATAATGTAGATTGAAAAACTGCGGCTTTGACTCATTTATGTTCTTAAGATAAAAATTTTGAATAATTCGTGAATATGAGAAAATCAAATCAGTTCCATTGTAAAAAAATTTTCTTCGCAATCCGAACTTTCCAGAAGAAAATCACTGCCACCGCTACACTCTATGAAGAAGCGCAAAACAAAGGACGCAAAAAACTTGCCCAAAGAAAGAAATTGTATCTAATACTTGAGGCTACAAATTTAGGCACAAAATACCACAGCAAACTAAAATCTTTCCAAAATTGTCATAATCTAATAACAGATTCCAGTCTAAAGTCTCTTGTGACTGGAAAAATAGATGATTTTTATTTGGAACTCAAATTGAGCTGTATAACTGGGGCTACAAAGTTGATTTGAAAACAGACAAAAAATATCTGACAATTTTTCAAATTGAAAATCACGAAAATTACCTGTATGAACTCATCGCCTTTGCTGGACGCATCGTTGCCTATCAACGTGAATCCAAGTCCTTTTGCGCCTTTTGTGATAGTTGTCGTAACCATTTCTCCACGTAATTGGTTTGGATCCCGCGTGAAATACGGATTTGATCCTCCCGGAGGAATCACAGGTTGCCGGGTTTTGATATGTTGATTCTGTGGTGAATGTTGATGCCCATTCGTTGTGATCTGCAAAATTTCATTCAAGAATTTTTTGAGCCAGACGACTTAACTCGTATTCGGACGAGTTCACCCATTCTCACCCCATTCGCCATATGACTGCTATTGGCTGTCGTTGGTATTGTTTCATAGCGTGATGACATCGTCGCCCCGGACGTGCTCGGTCGTTCGTATTGCGTCTTTTTATTGATGTGACTGAAATGAGTGATTTTAGAATTTCCTTTTCCTCGACTCTCGGCGGGGATCAAAAACTAGGAAGGAATGCAGTAAATGAAGTAATTCTGCTCTTCAAAACGAATTATGCGGGGCCTCTGAAAACGCCGCGAAGTGCAGGGCCGAGTTGATTCAAAGTCAACGACTAGCATAGTGAAAGTTGGCGAAAACTGGTCCCCAGCCAACTCATATCATTGAGTAACTCTTTTTCCTTACTATATT